ATTGAAAACTACATTGACGAGAAAAACGCCAGGAAAGTTGTGCGGAGGCTCTTTTTTTTTCCTATCATGACAATGCATCTGCTCATTTTTCAAGGATAGTAAGGGCTGTTCTAGGAGAATTTCCTTTGGAAACCTTAACCCATCCTCCCTAAAGCTCTGATCTTGCCCTTTCAGATTTCTTTTTGTTCCCCAAACTTAAAGAACATTTCAAAGGAACACAATTTGAGTTCCTTCAGATGCAAAAACTACTGTCTTGTGTGTGGTGTAAATCAGAGTGCAGAATTATTTGGGAGAAGGGGCTAGAGAGTTGGAAATGCTGCCTTGAGAAGTGTATAGACCTAGATGGAGGAGAAGTCCAGAAGCAGTAGCTTCATATCTTGATGCTCTGTTTAATAAATGTTTCTTTGATTTTGTAGCAATACAATGTGACTTGCATTTTTATATCACCTATTTATTTTACAATCATATGCTTAATGCCAATATAGTCTAAGCCAATCTGATTTATTATAAACAGCAGTTTGAAAAATTGAAACAAAATCCAGTTGGAAGTCAGGGTTCCTAAAATACAGCTCCTGTATTCAGGTTTGCCTACTGGGTTATAGAAACACGCAGTGTGGTTCTTGCATTGCAGACTCCTGCATCGTAGAATCAATTAATTTAAATGGCCTCATCATTCATCACTACCATTATCATCTCAGGCAAAGGTCACCCACATGACCCTATGGCAAATGTTTTTTCAATTATTATTATAATAATAAATAGTAAGTTATTTTGCAGATATATCACCTGGAAAACAATTGTTTGAAGATGCCTTGGAATTAAAATTCTACTTGAAACTATTTAGGAATAGTTTCTTCCTTCTTCATACCTGTGGTTTTCCCGTTGGTTCTTGCTCTCTCCCCTGTGTTACTCTCTCCCCATGTATTACTTTTTAGACAGCTCTTTAGCTAGCTAAGTGAACTTCTTTAATTGTCACTTTTCTTGAACTCCTTTGAATTCTCCCCCTAAAAATAAAACATTCACTTGAACAATTTCCTAGATCCGATTATTAATTACTACCCTCATTTTATCTTGACATCAATCTCAAAAGGAAAGGATGTTAGATGAATAAGCACTATAATGCTATGTCCAATGATGAGGAATATGAGAACTCAACGAGGCTATTCTGGTGGATTTGGGAGTGTTTACATAGCCACCAGAGGCAGGATCTGAAGGTTTTGCACCTCCACTTGTGTCAGGTATACCATAAATCCACTACAGATTATTTAAATTCAGTTCCCTGCAATTGCTGGTTGGATTGACATTTTGTTCAGCTTGAAGTGGCATCTTCAACTTCCTCCTGCCTCTTGCAATTAGCTGAGAAAAGCTAGAGGTACAAGATTACAGACACTCAGGTCCACATTGGTACTGATCAAGCTGATCGGGGAGTATGCTGGAGAAGGCAACCTGGGACTTAACAAGTCCAAAAATAAACACTTCGTGGAAACGTTTCATGCACCTGGCTCTTCAGGCAAAATTCATCCAACTAGAAAACTTAAGGTTAGCTCCTAGAAACCAGTTGTTAATTCAAATCATGTCTCTATGTTTTCGTGTCATTCGCAGGCGCTGAAGTCTGTTTTATGGAAAATTATTTTTGCAGGAGCAATGGATAAGAAGTTAGAATAGATTTTCAATATAATAGACAATTTTTGAGGTGGTAGTGCTCAGCTGCCAAATGAAATGTCAGCAGTTCAAATCTACCAGCCACTCCATAGGAGAAAGATGTGGCAGTTTGCCTCTGTACAAACACACAGCCTTGTAAACCCTATGGAGCAGGTCTACTGTAACCTGCAAAACTGCTATAAATTGGATCCAACTCAACAGCAACGAGTTGTTGGCTTTGGGGACAATGACACAATTGTTGAAGCGGTAGAAGAATGATAAAAAATATTATAATCATCCTAAAAAGATGGACAGAAAGCCCCTAACAAAATATCCCCAAAATAGAAAAGTAAAGTGTAACTAAAAGGTTGATGGTTCAAGCGCACCAGAGGTAGTTGAAAAGAAAGGTCTACTGATCTACTTCATTGAAAACTCTATGGAGCAGAGTTCTCCTTGAACATCCATGAGTCACCTCATAACATAGCAGAGTAGATTCCAGAGCAATGGATTCAAGAGTCATGTTTCTGTTAGTGATATTACCCTCTTCACTTTCCATATGCTGGCTGGCCTAAGAAAAATCTTCCTGGTAAAAGTCTCACCTTAACAATGTGAAAAATCTGGTTAAAACAAATGTTTGCTCAAGTGTTTTTTGTGTCCTAAACTGTTTTATGTTCAGTTTATTATTATTGTCATCATTGTCATCGTCATCATCACCATTGGCATCCTACTCTCAGCAATATTTGAAACATCAAAGAAGAAACTCATTCTCTAATTCGGGGAGGGCTTGGCATTTATTTACTGAGACTATCCAGGTGACTCACAAACCATTCCAAGCTTGGATCTCCTCATGTATCTGATTAGTTGTTGTTGTTAAGTGTCATTGAGTCCGTTTTGACTCATAGTGACCCTGCACAGGGTTTCCAAAGAGCGGCTGATGAGTTTGAACTGCCTATCTTGTGGTTCAAACTGACCTTATGGCCCAGTGCTTTATCCCACAGCACAACACCAGGACTCCATCTGATTGGCAGCAGGGTCAAAAGATGATCTGAAATCTACCAAAAATGTACTCTCTCCAGGAAGTAAAGCATTTTTTCTTCCCAAAATATACCCCTTAGGGTACAATAAATGTGTGTTATAAGAACTTCAGTTCTTAGAAACAATTAGAAAATAGACTAGAAATTAAATTCTGTAAGCCAAAAAGTATTGCTACAAAATGATAGAAACCTTTATTAAACAAAAATACCAAAATGTGGATCTATTGTTTCTCTACGTATCCTTCATCTAGGTCTATACACTTCTGAAGGTAGTACTTTTATCTCTCTAGCCCTTCCCCCAAACAATTCTGCACTCTTTGATTTATATACCACATCAAAACGACAGTTTTGGCATCTCAAGGGACTCAAATAGTGTTTTCTTGAAATGATCTTTGAGTTTGGAAAACAAAAAGAAGTGTGAAGGGGCAAGATCAGGGCTGGAGGATAGATGGGCTAAGGTTTCCCAACAAAATTCTCATAGGCCAGCCTTTGCTATGCTTGAAGAATGAGCAGGTGTATTGTCGTGATAGAAAATTCCTTGTTGTGACTTTTATTTTGTTTTTGTCACCAATGTAGTTTTCAGTTTTCTTAAAATGTATTACAAATATGCCCTAAGATCTATGCACTTTGAGAAAATCTATCAAAATGACCCCTTTGGAATCTCAAAAAGAAGTTGCCATAACTGTCTGAGCTGATCTCTCTACCTTGATATAACTGGTCCAGCAGATCCCCTTGGAAACCACTGTTTTCATTGGACCTTTTTTTTTGAAGACACCCTAATGATGCTAAGACAAGTATATCACTGAGAGAACTTATTTCCAGCCAGCCACTGATGACAGAGACAAGTTTAAGCACGTTTTGTTTACAATAAACCCATGTGTATATGAACTAGAATCCTACAAGCAATACTTTTTTACTTATCCTCATATATACTCAAATATGAATTACTATTTGGTGCCTTCAGTGAGAGTAAAATGAGGGGAAAATTCCACTCTCACAAATTCTAAAACTTAAATAGAAGCTTTTAAAAGAAAGCATTTAATATTCATTCATGTTATCCTATGTATGTAAACACTAGGATCATGTCTATATCACTTGTATACAAAGAACTTAGCCATCTCAATATTACAATATAATCCACAGTAAACATATGGAATTTTTCAAATAAAAATAATACATAAATGTAAGCTTCTTCTCACTTATGTCAGTTCTCCAAATAACTATAGGGCGTGGATGTCTGGATGTGCACACTCGCCCACACAGGAGTTGTGAGGCTCTGGAAGGAAAAAGAGAAAACATGCAAAAAGACTTAGGGATGCATAACCAGCATCATTTCTGGCCTTAGCAGAGTGCCTACTAGGCACAGTACCTTGATAGTAGTCAGAACACAATGAGAGTAAGTGGTGATCAGAACTTGGGCTAGCACTTTACCTACACTGTTTTATTTAATCCTCTCAAACTAGGAAGTAAACACTATTATTGCCTATTTTAAGATGAATTGATGCTGCCCAACAGATATTAAGTAGCTTTTCCCAAATTGCACAGTTAGGAAGCAGTACCCCATGGCCATCAAGTCACTTCCAACTCACAGAAACCCTAGGTAGGATTTCAGACACAATAAATCTTCACAGGAAAAAAACAACCCCTCATGGTGGGTTTGAACTGCCAACTTTGTTGTTAGACCAACACATAAGCCACAGCAAAGTGGTATGGCATGATTGAAACCAAAACCAGGAATTGGCAAATGCCACCCCTTGTACCAAGTCTCACCCACCACCTGTTTGTTTATTTGTTTTTTTTTATGACCTGTTGAACTAAGAACGTCTTTTTATATTTTCAAATGACTGGGGAGGGGAAATGAAAAGAAGAATATTTCATGACACATAAAAATTAAATTAAATTAAGTTCAAATCTCAGTGCCCGTAAAATTTTCTTGGAACACAGCCAAGTTCATTCATTTATGTACTGTCTCTGGCTGCTTACACACTACAGTGGCAGAGTGGAGTGATTGTGACAGGAATCATATGGCCTACAAAGTCTAATATACTTACTTTCTGGCCTTTATAGAGAAAGTTGGTTGACCCTTGATCTAGACAGTCTGGCCTTAGAGCCCAGGCTCTTAATTTTGTGCAGAAATGAGGAAATTCCGGCCCCACCCTACCCTGTTTCTTCATATGTCACCACATGGATTGGCGTTGAGATCCTTAGACACATTTTCTGATTACACTTTCCCCGACTCTTCTCCCACCATCCAAAGTTATAGAATGTCTCTTTGGACACTCAAGCACCGCTGCCTTCTCTTACCTGCTGCCTTTTATCTCCTAGTGAACAGCAGCAAACACATAGTCAGGAAGTTCCGAGGACACCTGCGGACGAAGATTGAGTCTGGGGAAGGGACCATCCCTGTGCGGTGCCACAATGCTGTTCAAACGTGGGATGGCGTCCTGCTAGGGGAACAGCTGGTCACGATGTCTTGCACAGACAAGATTGCCAGGTAATAGCCCAATTTGATTTCCTTTTACAAAAGTCAGCTGCAGTCTGTTGTGAGGATGGGCTTTGGTTCTGGGTCAGAAACATCAACATGGCAAAACCATAGGCTCCTGACCTATGCAAATGACAGACCTGATTAAGATCAGATAAATACAATACACTGCCAAGGAAATGGCAGACAGCCTTGTTTGCCTAACTCACAACTCCTCAATTGACTAGCTGTTTTCACATTTTAATACATATACTGGAGACATATCAAAAACTAACGAGTTGTCATCAAGTCAATTCCACCTCATGCGATACCGTATATGTCAAAGAAGATGTCGGCTCCACAGAGGATGTAATAGCTGGTTTTTCAGAAGTAGATCCCAGCCCTGTCTTTTGAGAACACTGTAGGTGGACTCAAACTGTTCATCTTTTGGTTAGTAGTCAAGAGCTTTACCATTTACATCACACAAAGACTATTTGAAGCAGGGTTTCTTTTTTTTTTCAAAACAATTAATTGTGAATTGGGTGAAGTTTTACAGAGCAAATCAGTTGTCTATTTAATAATTCATACACATTTTGTTTCATGTCATTGATTGTGGCGCCTACCCATCCCACTTCTTCCCTGTGCTTCCCATTTCCACTCCTACTTCCTCCCCAACCCTTCCTGCCTTCGGAAATTTGTCCTTGTGCAAATGCTGCCCTTTTGATCTTGAACAGTTGATTAATCTAAGAGTGTGTACTTACATAGTGGGATTTTTTCACCTTATAGTCCTGTCTATTGTTTGGCTTCAAATTGAGGCAGGAGGTTGAAAATTTGAGCCCCAAAGGGTGACTAAGGGTCAAAGTCTCAGGGATTCCACAAGTATCTATCCAACCAGTAAGCCTGGCCTTTTTTTTATGATTGTCAGCCTGTTAAATTTTTCTTCCGTTCTGCTTCTAATGTGATCCCTTCCAGAGTGGTCAGTGCTTGTAGCTGGGCACCATCTAGTTATCCTGATCTCAAGGTCATGGAGGCTGAGGTTTACATGGTCCATTAGCCGTTTGGACTCATTGTTTCCATGTTTCTTTGATTTTCTTCACTCTTCTTTGCTCTGGATGAAGAGAGATCAATAGTTGCACTTTTTTAAGATCCCAGTTCCTGCTATTCAACAAACTAGAATACAGAATAATACATTTTCTTTGTGGACTATATATATTATTCCACTTGACCTTGAGGTCCCCTGAGACTATAGTCCTAAGCTCCCAGGCCCAACAATTCATTTCCTCAAGGTGTTTGGTTATGGCTAAGGAGTTTTTATAACTTTGACCCCTGTTGTTTTTGCTGTTAAGTGCCCTCAAATCAGTTCCAACCCATAGTGACCCTGTATAGGGTTTCTGAGGGAGTTTGAACCCCCATCCTTGCAATTCAAACTGACCTTGTAGTCTAGTGTCTATCCTAAAGCGTCACACCAGAACTTCAAAGTAGATCACCAGGCCTTTCTTAGTCTGGAAGCTCCACTGAAACCTGTTTAGCATCATAGCACCATACAAGCCTCCATTCGCATTTAGGTGATGGCTGCATATGGAGTGCATTGAACAGGAATTGAATCCAAGTCTCTTGAAAGAAACTATTCTACAACCAAGCCACTCCTAAGTCTTTGACCCCTGTTGTTGGTGGTGGTAAGTATCTTCAAGTTGTTTCCTACTCATAGCAACCCTGTATAGGGTTTCCAGGGAGTAGCTGGAGAGCGTGATCCACCAACATTGCAGTAATGCATTAGCCCACAGCACCACACCAGGACTCCTTGACCCCTGTAGGTACTACTGTAACATGGATATATTTACTGTTGTTGTTGTTAGGTGCCAACGAGTTGGTACTGACTCATAGGGACCCTGTGCAAAACAGAACAAAACACTGCCAGGTCCTGGGCCAAACTTACCATTGTAGCCACGCCTGAGCCCATTGATACTGCCACTTTGCCAGTCCATCTTGCTGGTATCTTCCTCTTTTTCTTTGACCCTCCACCTCCAAACATGATACCCTTATCCAGCAAATGGTCCCACCTGATAATATTTCCAAAGCATGAGAGACGAAGTTTGGCCATTCTGGCCTACAAAGAGCACTCTGGCAGAAATCCCTCCAACACAGATATGTTGATTCTTTTGGCAGCCAACGCCACTTTCAGTATTCTTCTCCAGCACCATAACTCAAAAGCATCAATTGTTCTACAGTCTTCCTGTCCAACTTTCGCATGCATATGAGGTTATTGGAAATATAATGGCTTGGGTCAGGCAGACCTTGGTCCTCAAGCTGACATCTTTGCTCTTCAACACTTTAAAAAGGTCTTGTGCAGCAGATTTGCCTAATGCAGTACATCATTTGATTTCTTGGCTGCTGCTTCCATGAATATTGATGTTTGATCCAAGAAGAATGAAGTCCTTGACAACTTCAATATTTTCTCTGATAACAAGAATGTTGCTTATTGGTCCAGTTGTGAGGATTTTTGTTTTCTTTACATTGAGATGCACTCCACACCAAAGGCTGTGGTCTTTGATCTTCATCAGTAAGTATTTTAAGTCCTCTTCACTTTCAACAAGCAAGGTTGTATCATCTGTATATCGCAGGTTGTTAATGAGTCTTCCTCCTCCAATCCTAATGCCACGTTTTTCTTCATGTAACCTAGCTCCTCAGATTATTAGCTCTGCATACAGGTTGAATAAGTATGGTGAAAGAATTCAACCCTGTCGCACACCTTTCTTAATTTTAAACCATTCAGTGTTCCCATGTTCTGTTCGAAACTTCCTCTTGGTCTATGTACAGATTCCTCACGAGCACAATTAAGTGTTCTGGAATACTCATATTTCTCAGTGTTATCCAT